ATCTTAAGTGCTTTGACAAAAAATCCATACAAAATGTCATCTGTGGAAGCCGTAGTACTGTAAAAAGCACGACCAGTTATTTTAGCCGGCCTGGCTAAAATAACTGGATGGCCTACCCATAAATATATATACATAGATATGGGCCTACCTGCCTGTCAGCCTTCCATCTGTGCACAAACTTATCTCGTGCCCTCATTGGTCATGTGCGCGTTCGTGTGTGTTGGAGGAGGGGCTCTGTAAGGAAGTGGCAGATTTTCTCCGGTTGTGTATTTTCAAATTCTAGCGATCTCGAGCCGGTTTCTCAAACTTACCTACCCTACCTTTAAGTCATCAACCAAATATTAGACTAATTACAATTTGACCTGGGGTGCAAGATTACAATTCAGGGAATCTACAAAAGCCAGTATAGGATCAATCTTTTAGCAAACATGTCTGCACAAAGGTTGCATGTCAATCCATCCATTAGGAGTCCAACAGGTGTAACTATTCTGTATCATATTCATTATATTTACATCACAAACAGAGGATATATCTAACTGTATAGAGGTCCAAGGGATGACATCATTTGTCATACAATAATGCTCCTGTGGCAGGAAAACTGTACTTAGATCCATGTTTTGATGACTAGTTTTTCAATGTTATTTTTCTCAGAAAGCTTCACATTTCAGTGTCATCCCAGCTGACTGCAATCTGAAAGAGAGACACAAACGTAGGCACACTGACAGGGAAAAGAAAGTGTCAGTCAGGAGAATTATTTAAATTAAAGAAATGACTTCATGGAATTAGCTTTAATTCCTCAGTTACAGCAGGCGAGGTGAAAATAAACGAGCTACGGGTGCCGTTGATGTAATGTTTTCTGTCTGTCCAGCTGATTGGTGCATTTTTCTAACATGCAGAAGTTAATTTCTGCCTTCCTGTGTCCAGCAGCTGCTGGATAATCCCCTTGAGCTTGCGTCCTATTAAGCTTTTAAAAGCCGGTATAAACTGTCCATTTTGTAATAGCCATGTCACATCAAGGGTACAAATCTACTGCCTTTCATCTGCAGTCAGGTCATGGCAGCATCATTACAAACATTTTCAGATCTATTCATTCTGCAGCGATGTTCTTGTTTTGAGCTGATCACTTCGTATCAATAGGTCATGGCTGTCTATCCTGAGGATTAAACAGGGATGTAGAAAAAGGTCATCTATCAGTAAAGAAATCGTTTAAATCTACTGAACATTAAAATCTGAAATGTATGTGCAAATATGTTATGTGTACTGTACTGACACATTTGTTTCTGTAATTCAACTATAATTTTGTACATTTCATTTACCTTGGGCAGCCAACAACTATTTGATGGATCCATTTCCATGACCTTCTGTACAGACTTACGTGTCCTCGTTAACAGATTGTTGTTTGAATATATATACGTAAATGATTACCTGCCTTAGGTTTATACAGTTAAAAATTACCAACTGGGCCAGTTAAGGCCAACAATAATTGCTTACAATCTAAACCACTGTATGTAATTGCATTAAGACTTTAATTAAAAAATCTGAATATGAGGAATAATATCAAGAAGGAAATTAAATTAAATATGTACAAAAACATAAAGAAAATACAATAAAAATAGTAAAAATGGCTGTTGAATGAACAATACATCTGAAATAAACGTGGACGATCCTGCAGTTTTAAGCACATTTTTAGGCTATTGTCATTGCAGAACAAACCCATCCATCCTGTATAAGTTACATATAAAGGTTAATACAATTTTGTATTTTAGAGGTAGTTTAGAAATGAGTTTCAGTGCATGCATATAAAGCATTAGAAAAGAACTGATCCTGGGGCAGCTCTTTGTGTGGACACAATGAACATGGGGCTAAATGGGATGGTTTGTCCATACACTACGTCTCATTCTCAGCACTGCGGTAGCCCGTCACCTCAAATAAACTCACAGGTTCCCTGGTGCTTTATTGAGCTTCTTCACCTGCAGGGCTTCAAGATTATATTTTACATTTAAGTCTGTAGTTTTTGTTTCTGTGGCAATGTTTGGGTGGCATGACCTTTTTGTGGATACCCTAAGATAACAAAAGCTTTTACAACTGAATAGATAACCTTGCTGTTCACACCCAACATAAGCTCGTTAGTTATCTTCAGTAATAAGAGTTTATCTGTGTAGGTCACTTTTGACAATCTTTTATCTATGGGCCAATGGTTTTTCCTTGTTGTGTAATCAAAGGGTATGTGTTGTCTGTGCTTTGATACCGTCAGATGTGCCGTATTTCATCAGGCCCACAAAGAGTGCAGGTTTTCTAAGGTGCCACAGACAGAGGAAAAGTGCTTCATTTGGGTTGTTTTGTCACCTCAGGCCAAATTACATTTTATAGCCACTTATAAGCTCAAACTAGAAGCAAAAATCCTCAGACAGAGCACTTCTGCTTGTAACAGCCAACAATGAAGACAAAAAGTATTTTCTTCTTTTTGTATTACAGCCCCCCAGGTAGCTCTACCAGACTCAAAGACTTGGTTATTTAAAAAAAAAACATATTTTTCCAGATGACCACCATGATTTGCAGTCTGAATTTGCATCCTGTGCAGTTTCCCCCTTGTGCTGCAGCAAATTGCTACACAAAATAATACAATTTTAAAGAAATAAGATTAAATATCTAGAAAATAAAAACACATTTAATGATTTCAGAGAATATCTGTCTTTCCTATGTAGGATAACCATCATAGCAGCAAAATACAGACATTTGAGATGCAGCTCTGTTGCGTGAGATGAACATATGTTTAGCAGTCCTTGCGAGTCAAAAGGAGCAAAAGAGAGGTGAGATCCAGACTGTGAACGGTTTGGTTCAGCCTCATCTGCTGTGGATAACGTGTGAATAAACTCTGTGAAATATATAAATCAAGCAGCAACATTGAGGAAGCAATTCAAACTGAACCTCATATTTGAAAAGGTTATATATTTTTTTGTAAAGACAACTCATAACTATGATGGGATTTTACAGTGATTCAATATGTAGGTCTCCTGGCTACAAAATGTTGTCAGACAGAAGGGTGTCGCCCTGAACATTGTCAGGCAATTATCATATGGATATTAGGGCTTGTAATTAACATGCTGCGCTTCCCCTTCTGTCTGCCCCCCCACCCAATTTAGGACTGTAATGTGGATTGCCTTCCTTCCTGTGTCTCATCTGTATAAATGACATTGCTTTTCTGTGTAACGGGGTCAGATCCTGGTACTATCTACTAGTGCAGGACCTCTGTCCTTTCCAGCTGGAAATATGATTGATTCTGTTAAATGCTATAACTCTTTATTAAATAACACGACTTTGGTTTAAGCTTGTATATTTGTTCTTTTCTCATAGCATCTCCCCTTTTAATACATGATATACATTTGATTGACCTTTTAGCCAAACACATGCGCAACTGAACAACACGACAGCAGGAATATGAAGAACTTGTACTTTACCCCTTATGTAACAACGCAGACAATACTTATACATCGACTGATTATGACCTCATCACAAACACAATCTCACAAAGGCATCTAGTGAAACATGATTTTGAAAGCTGATTTCACTCAAAGCAAAGAACTGAAATGAGCTTCCAATGCAGATTTAAAAAAGATGGCGGATTAAAGAATACTCAGGTGGTTTGTAGCTGAGACTCTAGAGTAGAAGTAGAGGTCATCATTATTATCACCACAGAGGTCACACTATATGACATCTCTTAGTGATAATAATGATGACCTCTACTTCTACTCTAGAGTCTCAGCTACAAACCACCTGAGTATTCTTTAATCCGCCATCTTTTTAAAAACATTTCAAAGGACGTTACATGTAACTAGAGAGTCTGTTTATATTTATTTTAATGTGTTGTGTTCGGGTATTGATAGAGAGCTGAAAAAAGCTCTAATCCTTCATGCAGCAACAAAAAAATGAAATATTGAAACGCTGGCTAATCCAATTTGACAGGCAGCACATCTTTAGGACAGCAGTCCATCGTTCAAAGGATTATGTGCTGCGTGAGAGCAGTTTGGCTGGCATTAGACTCTCCCTTTGCTTTAAAGATTAGTTTACAGTATAATACTGCTGCAGCTTGGGAATAGAAAGAGAGGACTTGATTGTGTGGCGTTCACCAACCAGGAGCTGCAGGATGTTCCCCTCGTGTGTCTCTTTTCACAACGCAGACAGGCTTTTAAAAGCTGTCTGGCTCCTAAAACCTTTGTGGGACATTCATTTGTTTATTGTTGTTCAGGAGGTACGGGATTCTTGTAAATTACAGTTTTTAGACTCACTACTTCAGAGGTAGATAAAGAGGAAGGAGGCTAAGAGATGTCATATAATGTGAGGTCATAAGGGTGAGAAAACTAGGATGACTTGGATTAAGGAGGAAGGGTTCACTGCACCTAATCCTATACAAAGAGGGAAACGTAAAAACTGATATGGCAGCCTTAAAAATGACCTAAATTAGGGGCAATCATTTCCCTTTAGAAGGGGGAAGCAGGGTATCCATTTCAGCATCTATGACCAATCTGTTGATGGGGATGAGGGGGCCACTCCCTCAATTAAACAAGCAAGTCAAATGCAGCGGAAAGATCAGAAATGACAAACAACAAGTGGGCTGTTGAAGAATAAGATGAAGAATATATGGTAAGGAACTGGGGGTGGGGGGGAGGACGTTGTGAATTAAGGAAATAGCTACTTTTACCACTCCAATCCCAGTGTCTAAATTGAACAGTGATTCAAACATTGAGTAATCTTAGCTCTATTATGTTATCATCTTTTTCTGATTTTCTCGTTTTTAGCTCAACACCAGCGCTATTTGGTTTGGATGTGTTTAGACATGTTTTTGTAAGTCCCTTAGTTCCAGCATGAAACAGCTGTGAGTGATGACGACTGGCTGGTGTTTCTGTGTTTCAGGTGATGGACTTCCCAAAGAAAGCAGTCCTTTCATCAACAGCAGCGCAGCCGGCAGCGTGGATAAGAGCCAGCAGTATGACGGCAAGACTATGGCTCTGTTCGAGGTGGGGATAGTTTTCACAACTAAATTCAAAACATATTTTCCCATGCTGTCACGTCTAATATGACTGTGTGTGTGTGTGTGTGTGTGTGTGTGTGTGTGTGTGTGTGTGTGTGTGTGTGTGTGTGTGTGTGTGTGTGTGTGTGTGTGTGTGTGTGTGTGTGTGTGTGTGTGTGTGTGTGTGTGTGTGTGTGTGTGTGTGTGTGTGTTTTGCAGGAGGAAATGGATACCAGTCCAATGGTCTCCTCTCTGCTCAGCAGTCTTGCCAACTACTCAAACCTGCCAACGGGCAGCAAAGAACACGAAGAGGCCGAGAATAACGAGGAGGGGGCTCGTCCGTCTAAAAAACCTGTCAAGGTAGAGGACTCAATCCCATTTCAAAGGGAACCATATTTTCTCCCAGATTACGTTACATGATATAAAAGTCATGTGTTCGTTTGTCAGTGCTTTAGGAGACTGGGCTGACATTTCAATTTAAGAGAATAATCAAATAGACTGCAATATTCCTTACAGTTATTGTAAAAATGTTTTGTTTTTTTAAGTGAGTCCATAGTAAAGTGATCTTTATAATGACCCTGGATAAAGTCAGCCCGATTTCTAACTCAATCAAAAAAGGGCAACTGTATCTGTTGTAGGACAATATGGTTTGTTCGGCAGGGAATACAAACAATAACATGAAATTATAAATCTTGACTTGAAAGGCATATTCAGGTGTGTGGCATTTGGCAGTCTTTTAAAAGTACTTTGTTGTTTAAATAGACAGGGACACAAACGTATAGGTGCATACGTATTCATCATAGTGTATTAAAACATGAATTATATTTGCATAAACTAATTGTAATGTCAATGATAAATAGACCTAAGACAAGAAGACAGGAAGGGATGTGTCTTCCTCCTTTCCAAAAGATTAGTCTCTCTTTGTGTTTGAGAAGAATAAACCCCTTTCTTTACTTTTAAAGAGTGCACTTTTGCTTTTGCACTCGTTTGAGAAATGAAGTCTGCAAGGAAAGACGGACAAAGGTGCTTAGGTTCAGCAAGAGGCTCCTGAGACACCGGAAGAGTCCTGCAGAGCCGGCTGTCAAGTGCAACTCAAGCTCTTCCTCAACAGCGTTTCCCCTGTGGACAAAAAAACAAGTCTTTTGTTTGATCCGTCCGCTCATCTCTCAGCTCATTATTATCACACACAGCGAGCTCTCTGCAGAATTTGAAACACTCAAAAACACTAAACATGTGGAAAGGTAAAGGCTTCATCTGATCAATTATTTTCTGGTCGATTCTGTACACTGTAACTTTATTGATATTGTTAAACATGTTTTGCACGGATACAGTAGTTGAGAAATGCTTTTGTTAACATTTGGCCCAATGGACCAACCTTAAGAATGTGATCATTGTGACTCATGTGTGTAGATTTTTAATATGGACACTAAATGTATGAGGAAGGAAGAAGATGAACATGCTCTGTAGAGATGTTTCTTTAAGGATATTACTTGTCCTCCTCTTCTCCTTCTTCACAAGATGTTCATCTTTCTGTGTTTGAGAAGAATAAACCTCTTATATATATTAAAAGATTGCAACAACATTCATGATATTAAAGGTGGGGTAGGTAAGTTTGTGAAACCAGCTCGAGATCGCTAGAATTTGAAAATACACAACCGGAGAAAATCTGCCACTTCCTTATAGAGCCCCTCCTCCAACACACACGAACGCGCACATGACCAATGAGGGCACGAGATAAGTTTGTGCACAGATGGAAGGCTGACAGGCAGGTAGGCCATCCAGTTATTTTAGCCGGGCCGGCTAAAATGATTGGTCGTGCTTTTTACAGCGCCACGGCTTCCACAGATTACATTTTTTGATGGATTTTTTGTCAAAGCACTTCAGATATTCATTGCTATCGGGATGTTAAGAGCATTCCATGGAATATAACAAAAAGTGTATCTCGAGCCGGTTTCTCAAACTTACCTACCCCACCTTTAAGGAACACTACAGTTAAGGAGATTGGACACAAAAAGTGCATTTACTCTCAGATTAAACCCCCATTTAAATGAATTTTCATGGAAAGTAAGTTGAGCTAGACTGAAAACAATAACAGAGCAACTTTTTGCTGATTCCTTTCACGTTTGTGTTTCTCAGGCTCCACAGCTGGGTACTCTGATGGGCGTGTACTTGCCGTGCATCCAGAACATTTTCGGGGTGATCCTCTTCCTGCGGATGACCTGGATGGTCGGGGTTGGAGGCGTCTTTGGCTCCTTTATAATTGTCTTCATGTGTTGCTCCACAGTGAGTTTTGTAACATGATCTCTTTTCCGAAAACTGTTGAATAGTAGAATAGATCTGTAAACAACATATTATATAAATCCAAAGTGGTTCTTAGGCACACACATACACCATTTGGGTAGCATGTGATTACACTTCAGGCTGTTACAATAAAAAAAAGCTGTACAATTCAAAATGGCATTGCACAGATGCTGAAGGTGACATAGTAAATCCTGGCATGAGGCGATCTGCCAATAAACCCACTAACACCCCACCAGCATTCCTCTGTTGGATTCTGTTATTCGATGCTACGCCAACAACCAACTAGCCAGGAGCTAACCCAAGGCATGCCATATAGCTGATAAACAAAATCCAGAAATGTGGCTCAAAACACAAAGTATAAATGTTTGAATAGGCTATATGCAATCTAATATTTAATTATATTTTGTGAGATGTTTACAGGGCAATATTTGGAGGGTTCTGGTGTAGCGAGAGGAAAGACTTCCTTTTTTGGTGCATGGAGTTGGAGTTCAGGGACAACATCTACATTTGGATTGCTTCAAAATTAGCTAATTGTAGCTAATAAAAGCTGAATTGTGTCAGACAATAACCAATGGTTTACAGATTGCATTTCTTTCAATGCGTTTAAGCATCTTTTGCAATTCAAACTGTTTACCTGCAATCAACCAAAGCCTTTTAAAATGTTGTTGGTCAATAATACTCTTCATCAATATACCTTGCAATGTAGTTCTCCCTTTGATGAACAATTCAACACGACCTGATAACTCTTGTGCTGTTGGTTGTTTGATCAAGGCCTTGCTGTCGGCCACATTCAATCTGAGGTGCCCACCTCTCAGTCCCCTAACCCTCCTCTGTTGTGTTCTGCTTCATCCAGACAATGCTCACAGCCATCTCCATGAGTGCCATCGCAACAAATGGAGTCGTACCAGGTGAGTGGATATCTAAGAGTATTATTTGTGTGTGACAGATCAGTGCTCTGACCCTTCTGTGTGTTTGTGACTCGCAGCTGGAGGTTCGTATTACATGATCTCTCGCTCTTTGGGGCCAGAGTTTGGTGGAGCTGTCGGGATCTGCTTCTACTTAGGCACCACCTTTGCAGGTGCCATGTACATTCTTGGCTGTATTGAAATTGTGCTGGTAAGTGGCTTTGATTATCAAATAATAACATGCTTATTGTTTTTCATATTGTTTTTAAAGGCTTTTTCTAGGAAAGTCTTTTTTGCATCAAGCATTTTGGCATGTCATAAAAGGAAAAGCACAGACTTATCACTTATTAGTCCTGTTATTGTATCTGCAGCTGGCTCACTGGTATGACTTTAGGGATACTTAGAAAGAAAGTTCGATTTTTTTCATTATCATAACACAGCATACCATTGTAAGGAGAACATGTCGTAATGAAAACAATCTGCTTATTATTATTATCAGTCAATTTATCATTCTGTTTTAAAAAGATCAGAAAATGTCTTTTATAAAACGGAAGTTAATATATTTCCAATTAGTTGGTCCTTCTTACTAACTGTTCAAACCCCCCAAATATTGAATTCATTATATGAGAAACAAAAGAACAAACAGTCACATTTGTGAAGATGGGACCAGGTCAATCTTTACATTTTAAAAAACAAACAATTATATCAATATCAAAGTATTTGCCAGTTAATATTCTGTCGATCAACTAATCAAATATGTCCACTCTATTATAATAAGCAAACCTTCTGATTTGACAACATATACATATATATTGTAATTAAGATGCGGCTTACAACGCTTTTTTCTCATTGTAAAAGCTTTGAATTGATGAGTAGATCCAATGTAAAGCACTCCAAGTTTAGCCAGCATTCTATCATAGATGTACCTTGGTTAATTATCGACCCTCTGCCTCTGCTTTTCTCCCTCCATCTTTCCATTCTTTCAGATTTACATCCTTCCTCAGGCAGCCATCTTTAAGATTGAGGGCCTGGAGGGGGCTGAGGCCGAGGAGGCTCTCCTCAACAACATGCGGGTGTACGGCACCATCGTGCTGAGCTTAATGTCACTGTTAGTGTTTGTGGGGGTCAAATATGTGAACAAGCTGGCCCTCGTCTTCCTGGCTTGTGTCATCCTCTCCATCGTGGCTGTTTATGCCGGAGTCATCAAGACAGCTATTGACCCCCCCGTCTTCCCGTAAGTCACTTGTTTGTTCACTGGTCTAAGTCCATGCCGCTGATCTGAGTTTATGACAATGACGTGCCGACTTACTTTACAGCGTCTGCCTCCTGGGAAATCGAACTCTCATGTCTAAAGGATATGACATCTGTGCAAAAGTCATGGATATAGACAATGAAACTGTCACCACCAAACTGTGGAGGACCTTCTGTGATTCTGACAGCCTCAATGCCACTTGTGACGAATACTTTAACAACAACAATGTGACAGAGATACAGGGCATCCCAGGGGTCACCAGTGGCATCCTGGCAGGTAAGAGATGAGCTTTGTGAAGTGCTGTCATCTATTTAATACTATTTCTGTTTCTCCTTGCCCTATTTGTATAGTTTTATGTCTTATAAATATTCATGTTGAATTGTTGGAGGCCTGGTACTTAAGATTGTTATTGCCAAAACTACACTGTAGCTTTTATTTTGACAATAAAGCCTTTTAATCTTGGATCTTTGAACCTTGAGATGTTCAATCACACCCTCTCTCAATCGTCAGAATGAGTATAAATCCACCTCACTTTCTCATTTAAATGCTCCTCTGTCTTTAAGAAAACCTGTTTGGTAACTACCTGGAAAAAGGCATGTTCCTGGAGAAGCGAGGGATTGCATCAGAAGCCAATCCAGACAGTCCTCCACCCGGCTCCAACCGTTACGTCCTGGCTGACATTACCAGCTTCTTCACCCTGCTGGTCGGGATATACTTCCCATCTGTCACAGGTTAGCAGCACACAGGCCCAAAAGAGGAGGGACTCTCCGTATCAAATCTACCCTTAAAGCTGCTCTTATCAATATTTGTATATAATAATGGGCTAAAATGTAACATGATAGTGGAGTTGTTAAACCAACAAAGAATTACCAATGTCTCTGCAGTTCAACTTGTGGTTTTGTTTTTGGCAGCCTGAAACTTTTTTGTTTTGGATCCAATTTAATCTGTAATGTTTCAAGAAGTGACAGGGAGGTTTGTTCAAGAAACCTCTAAAAACTAATTGTACGCTACCTGCACAGCATCCTACAGCAGGCAGACAATGTAAGCAAATTGCTGACGGACGTAGTCGAGCATATTACATCCTAAAATACATATATTTGTATTTAAATATATCAGTGGACTCACTAGAGTGACATAAAAAGAAGCTTACCATGCATGCAGGTGCAAAACCTCCTGATTATTTCCTTTTGCTCCACTCACAGGTATCATGGCGGGCTCCAACCGCTCCGGAGACCTGCGTGATGCTCAAAAGTCCATCCCCATTGGCACGATTGCAGCGATCACCACCACCTCTATTGTGTGTATCCTTCACTGAGCAAAACAAAGAGAAAACTGTGAGGAGCTAATTGATGTGTTATATTTAACCTTCTGCATGTTATCATAATATTGTGATTGAAAAAGTTTCAAAATACACTTCTTAACAGCTTTTTCCCAGACATGTCCACTGTGATCCTGTTTGGTGCCTGTATAGAAGGAGTAGTCCTAAGGGACAAGTGAGTATAACTATGTTGATTTGTGTAAATGTATAAAATTGTTAAGTTGTTTTTTCACTGTGTATCTTTGGTAGAGAGCTGAACCAGTCAACGTTGACCAAGGTTTAAATTGATGCTGTTTAATATGTTGCTCTGGATGACTCAATGTACTACCTTAGTTATTGAACAAAACTGGTTTTGGCTTTAGGAACATCTGGACCTAAAATATATATTTTCTTCGGCAATTGTCTGGAACATCTGGTAAGGATAGTCCCGGAAAAATAATATTCATACATTGTTGCTCTGACAGGAGGGCAGGGAGGGAGACCGATGCGGACAGCAACAGACTGGAGATCAGGGAGGAAGAGGGAACCAGTAGTGATGAGAGAAGGGAGACAGATGTTGCGAGGCGGCTCGTCTTAAGAGAATGATGTAGTGAAATGGAGACTAAAGAAGGAGAGTGTGAGGAGAATAACTAAGGCAGGATGAATTAATGCAGTTATATTCCCTGAACAACCTTATGTTACCTCTGAGAATTCAAAGGTACATAAGGAAATCAATGCCTTCACCTGAAATAATAAATTAAGGATTGATTGAATGTCAGAGAGGACATACCAAAGCCTTTAGAGTGTTTTGACGGCCAATCAGTTGGGCATGTGGCTAAGGTATGCTTAATAGGTGTTGTTCTAGGTGTGGTGGGGATGATGAATATTGCATGTGTGGAGAGGGAATTTGTAAACGTGGAGGTCATGAGAATGTTGCATTTTTGGGGCTTTGAAGTGTTGACATGAGAGGTGGAGGAGTAGCAGATATAAAGGAAACATTTATCTTCTGCAACTTATAGGGTTGAGAAGGAAAAAAAAGATTAATGGAAGAGAATATGACAAAGAGCGATGTGTTGCAGAGGACCAAAGGAGGAAAAAACGAAACTGGTATAATTTATAGTGGAGTAATAAAGGCAACATCTGACAGAAAGAGTCTGACACTGAGAGGATCCAGGTTGTTCTGGTTAAAGCAGCAGTGCAACACTTGGATATAAAACTGTTGTAATGGGAGTAGAAAGGGATGAGATCAACGTACAGTCAAGAATCAGCATGTGTTGGGTGATATAAGAGGGGGGAAAATACATAAGATAATATTACATATAATAATATTCAAGAGTACTGGGTTAACCTGGATTTTGTGTTATATGAGTGACAGTTATGCAAGTTAGAAAAGATGCTGGAGTGTGTCCGGTTTGTAAAACAGGGGACTCACTATATGGTACTAGGTGTAAGGAGTGATTATATGAAGTACTAGAAGTGTAAAATTAGTGGAAGAAGTTTGTCATAATCTACTACACTCCATCTAAAAAGTTGGATTCAAACATTCTTGAGGAAATAGCGAAGCAAAAACAAAATGAGGTTGTGGTTTCAGGATTGTACTGCAAGTTACACACTATGGGGGGTCGAGAGAAAATATGATGGGATAGATGTCAGCATCAAAAAGGCATCTGTGCTTTATCTCACGCTAGTTTCCAACAATATGGTACCAATGTGTGATTGGAATGTGTATCAACAAGGAACCATAGGGAGCTAACATTACCCAGTGCATTGTTAACCACAGAAAGGCAGGGAAGGGACATGGATATATGAGAAGGCTGATTGGGAGACATTTCAGAAAGAAAGTAATAGATACCCGAGTCAGAGTGATTGTAATATGGACATAGAAACATTTTGAAATAAGATTTAATAAGTTAAGGGGCTAAGGTCAGCTGCATGAGGGTCTTTAAAGACAAAGTAAATAGCAAAGCAGGTTCATGGTGGGATGTGAAATGAAATGCAGCCGTGAGAAATCATTTAAACTAGTCAAAATAACACAATATCCATCAAAAGATAAAGGACACTATTTTTTAAAACGTATAACCAAATCTCTGTTTAACACAATATTTAAAGTGGTGCTTATGCATAAACCTTATGTCAGTTTAACAGATCTGTCGATTCAATCAGAATCATTTAGATGTCAAAATGGTTTCAGTGTTAGTTGACAGTACAGTACAAACAGGCTCAGCAGGAAGAGGCCGAGCAACATTTATTAGAGAAAGTGCTGCGACTCAATCAGGAACAACACATGAGGATGATTAAAAAGAGAGCTGGGGACAGTAGGGAGTGGAGTCATCCTGTTTTATTGGAAATTATTTTTGCTGTAAACAGTAAGAAACATATTGAGATAATACTTTCATTACAGTTGACACAAGAAATAGACGAGGGAAAACTGAATCTGAACGCTTTGAGGCACTAAGCAGAAAGGAGAGCACTGAGGATCAATACAGTTTAATTTTCTGTGACTTGGGAACAGATAACAATCTACACTGTGTTGAAACATTTCTTAAGGATTATATTTTGATGTTCTTTTTTGCTTTTATTTGAAAATGGTGGGGAATCGAACCCGACATGGTTTTGTTATGCAGGAAGTGTTGTAACCAGTCTGCTACGAAGGTGGACCATGAGGACACATTTAAATATAGGGACTTAATAACTTGTTGATGTTATTTAATGTGTGTGGGAATAAGGAAGGATCCTTCAGAGCTTTAGCAATAATTATTCCAAGAAGGAAACCTGGGAAGAATGCCAGTCTGCCAACGAGCCATGCCTTGTTATCACATGTCTGTAAAAGGATGGAAGAACATGGTCAATGAGAGGCTAATGTTTCTCTGCATACCAATATAGTGTAAATTACTCGTTATGATATAAAAAATTGATTATTAATAAATGTTTAGGATATATATTTGTTATATAACTTTAACTTTAGGTTTTAAGACAATTATTAAGGATGAATACTGGGACACCCCTTGCAGCTAAACAAGAAACACAATAGCACCAAAGTAGAGAGATCACTTTAAATCACACAAAAGCACATAAACCAGTTCTTTATAAATGAAGAATGTATTAACTATTATACATGCAACTAATAATCAAACACCCGATAATTCAAATGAAATGAAAAAGGAAAAAATGCACAATGAATCGCAAGCAATACAGAAGGAGGGGGGCGATGAAGTTAACTTTAAGGTCAAGAGATCAAACAGCATTGAACCATCCTTTTTGTAGTGCATTACGTGGGACGTCCTCACTGTTAGGTGGGCTCCTGCCTCCACAGCCGCACCTTCTCCTCTATCAACTTTATCCCGAATAAACTTTCATTACTAGCTAATACAAAAAAATCCCAATAAACATCACTATCTAAATTTCCTCATCCTTGACATATGTTTTTCAACTGTCAAGAATACACCAAACATGTTAAGGGAACTTATTATAGGACATGTCATTAAAGTAGTCTCTATTTTTTGTGTTATTTCACATTCCAAGGGCAGCCATTCAGATCGGTCAGAGGGGCTTGAAACCTTGAATAAACAATGACATTTCCTCCACCACTGATCTAATCTGCGAAGAGTTTGGGTGTTCTCTCCTGTGAGGTTAAACTTTTATCAAGCAGTTTATGATTAGCATAGATCATTGGCTTCTGGCTTTCAGCTTTAAACACAACGTGTTCCCCTGTTGAAGCTGTGTCCCTTTATGATCCCCTGTTGTGAACAAAGTCTGTGAGAAAGTTCTAATGACAGAGCTGTGAGATAAAATGCAGTGTTAAGTTCTCTTCTGTACCTTTCACACTCTACCACCAGATAACCTTTTAACCGGAGATTTATGGCATCCTGTTCCAGATGCATTTAGGCAGTTCACTGTTGTGTCAAGGCGGAAGTTCCCGCCACTTCTTCCACACCACGTTAAAGTAGATTTAAGAGAGGAAAGGGCACTATGGATCCAGTGTTGTTTTTGGAGGAAAGAGCACATGACATGTTCTGAAGAAAGGGGGATTGTCCAAATATACTTATTACTTGTGGAAACATTTTTGAATGGGTAACAGGCCTTCTAAGCGGAAGATACATGAAGGTTTAATAAGGGTCAGAACTCAAAAGCAAACATTTTGTAGAGACCGGAAAATCTCAGTGGGGTGTAAAAGCCACAGTGTGCAGGATTTAGTGGCCTGCAGTCATACCCCTTCACTCTACCCTGTCTTTTCAACCCTGTAGAAAAACAAAACAACAACAACAATTTCAGAAACAATGAATTACCCTAAATGCTACGCACTGCTTCTTTTAGTTCCACTTTATCCTCTGTGTAAATAAATGATATATTCTTAATATACTAATGGACATGGGAATATCACTATTTGCAGATGACGGCCCTGGAATAGAGGTAAACTGTGTTACATATAGTTGAGCAAATACATGATGCGATTCATCAATTTGAAATGTGGGCGAAGAAATGGGGCTATAACAGTTCAGTGGAGAAGAAAAAAGTTATGCTTTTCACAAGAAAAAATACAGGATGGATACATTTTAAAAAAGTGATACATGTGATGAGATGTCTAGCAGAAGTGAAATGGGGAGCTTGTGCATTACGTAAATACAGTATACATGTAGCTCTAATCAGATCATGGCTAAACTAGGGAGTGTGTCAATGGATTACTAGCAAAAATGTTTGCAGGGCCAGACAGAATACAAGTGTGTGTTTAGCAGCAGTTAGAACATTGCAATATTGTCCACTTCACACAGTTTTATTACAGGGCTCTTAGCAAACAGTCACATACTGTATCTGGTTATATATCAGTTCAAAATCAATACTTGATTTGTTTTTCTAAATGTTTGTTATTTATGGCAGTGTCTGCCTATTGTGTCTTCGCCTCTCTCCACAGGTTCGGTGAAGGAGTCAATGGTAACCTGGTGATTGGGACTCTGGCATGGCCGTCTCCCTGGGTCATTGTGTTTGGCTCCTTCTTTTCCACTTGTGGAGCGGGACTCCAGAGTCTGACTGGAGCTCCACGTCTCCTGCAGGCTATCTCTCGGGACGGCATCATTCCATTTCTTAGAGTGTGTACACATGTAGCATTCAAATGCAATCTTTGTCATCAAAGCAGACATTTCGTTTTTCTGTAGCTTGGGTCTGCATAAAACATTTTTAATACATGGCATAGCACTATCTTTCTAAGAAAGGGCTAATAAATCTGATCTGCAGGTGTTTGGGCACGGCAAGGCCAACGGGGAGCCCACCTGGGCCCTTCTGCTAACAACTAGCATCTGTGAGATCGGCATCCTCATCGCCTCCCTGGATGCAGTCGCGCCTATCCTCTCTATGTAAGTACACACAAGCCCACACACACAACCACACACTCACACACACTGTTTGTTTATTGCTGTGCACACCTGCTGTAGTAAGTATCCCTCATTTCACTCACTTGTCCGTCTAATATTTCTGTATATTTATGTTTCTCTCTCTCTCTCTCTTCTTCGCTCCTTTTTTTAAGGTTCTTCTTGATGTGCTACATGTTTGTCAACCTTGCCTGCGCCCTGCAGACTTTGCTAAGGACCCCAAACTGGAGGCCGCGCTTTAAATTCTACCACTGGTGAGTTTGTGTGTCATGAATTATGTCAGAAAACCTTGCTCAAAACAGAACTGCACAGTAGCACCATTACATTTGCATTTCTGCAGTTGACATAAATTCTAGCTGGAAACTCTCAGTAACAGCACTTTGTGAGATAAGGACATTATCCACTGCAGTTTTGTCATACTGAAGAGCAGTCTGAGTCCAGAAGTGCCAAAGCTTTAAACATCTTTAAACATCTCTTTTTACAAGTTGTGGTTATTACTGTGTTCAATTTGGTAGAATTTTCCCAATAGAGCAAACATGTGCTGTCCTGTCCCCTGCAGGGCTCTGTCTTTCTTGGGTATGAGCTTGTGCCTGTCGCTCATGTTCATCTGTTCCTGGTATTACGCCATGCTCGCTATGGGCATCGCCACCTGCATCTACAAATACATTGAGTTCTGCGGGTAAGAAATCATCAGTGGATTGCTATTATTTTCATTTTCCATGAATGCTACTATAGCACATATACACCATAATATCATGTGCCAACCTATGAATGTGCTGTGTCACAGAGCGGAGAAGGAGTGGGGTGATGGGATACGTGGCATCTCTCTCAGTGCTGCACGCTTCGCCCTCATGAGGCTGGAGGAAGGACCGCCACACACCAAGAACTGGAGGTCAGTCCACACATCTTCAGTGTTTAAACAGTTTCACTTTTATCACCTGTTGAAAAAGTCCTGCAAAAAGTGTTCTTACATTTTTTGTAGCTGTTTTTTTACGAATCCCGTTTTGCTTTTAAATTAAAAGTGCAGGACAGTTAATCCTAATAAGCAGATGTAAACGCCCTCCAAAAAAGGGCATGAGGCTATAGGGCCGTGTGCACACACCTAAATTGAGTAGGGAAGATAAGATAATTACAAAGCCCAAACGGTAATCTAAAGAGGGTGGAGCACTGGACTCCAAATCTTCAATAGTTCTGTAGGTGTAGTATGTTGAAGTGAATGCCAAATGAGCTTCAAATGTAGTATTATCATCATTATCCTTATGACGAGTAATTTACTTAATGCTTTGTTTTTTCAGGCCTCAGATGCTGGTTCTAGTGAGCGTGGATGCTGAGCAGAACGTAGAGCAGCCTCGTCTGCTCTCTCTGACCAATCAGCTAAAGGCAGGGAAGGGTCTGACTATTGTTGGCACCTCAGTTCAAGGAACCTTCCTCGACAATTTCACTGAGGCCCAGAGGGCAGATCAGGTGCGTCCTCTAATATCTAACACATACACTTTGACCTGTGATAAAAAAAACATTAATATCAGTCAATTGCTTTCACTGACACCAACAGCTGTGTTCCCCTCTCTGTGTATTTGTAGTCGCTGCGTAAATTGATGGAGACGGAGAAGGTGAAGGGTTTCTCTCAGGTGGTCATCTCCTCCAATCTGAGAGATGGGACGTCCCATCTGATTCAAGTTGGTGGACTGGGAGGTCTGAAGCACAACTCTGTGATGGTCAGCTGGCCCCGAAACTGGAAACAGCCAGAATGCCACGAGCAGTTCAGGAACTTTATTGGTAAGTCCTAATTCATTGGTCCAATAATTGATGTCTTAAAATGTGATCTTAATCCCATGCATATAGACAATGTCTGTAATTTGTCAAGTAAAAATTACTCTGCAAATTAGCTACCAGATTTTGCAATGTCATGTGGTAAAATTAGTGCCGTCTTTGTGATATAAAGACTTATTTTATTTATAAATGTTTCGCCAATCCAAAAGTTATGGAGGCTTCGTTTGCAAATATAAATGAAATGATGGTGGACAACGACCTTATGGATGGTTTTTTTATTCATATGCAATTAATTCATTTTTGTTTTGTTTTCATGAACTTTACCCCTTTCCTGTCTAATGGAGTGACCAAAACAAGGGGAGGTAACCCTTTAGGTAACCATTATTATTTGTCCATCTGCAGAGGTGGTTAGAGAGACAACTGTAGCCAGTCTGGCCTTGTTGGTTCCTAAGAATATCGCCAGCTACCCGTCCAATGGAGAGCGCTTCACTGAAGGACACATAGATGTGTGGTGGATTGTCCATGACGGAGGCATGTTGATGCTCCTGCCCTTCCTGCTGAGACAGCATAAGGTGGGAAACTATGAAATATAATTAACCTCTTCTTTATAAGAGGGTTTATTATGATGAAAAAAAAACGAAATCATTAACATAAGTTACAAAGGACGCAGTTACACTGATAACATTGTTCATCATCTGTGGATGTTCCGGTTTTGTCCCATAGGTGTGGAGGAAGTGCAAGATGCGCATTTTCACTGTGGCTCAAATGGATGACAATAGTATTCAGATGAAGAAAGACCTCATCACCTTCCTCTATCACCTGCGCATTGATGCTGTGGTGGAAGTGGTGGAGATGGTGAGAGACTTGTCTGACACATCATCTCAGTTCACACATTAACACTGCTAGCAAATTATTTTTGTTTAGAAATCTTTGTTGAAAAAGTGCTTTGTGTTGTGAGATTAACCTGTTTTTTATCCATAGAAGCAAACTATGGCTACTGCTTGACTAAAACTGTATGATAAATGTATTTTCTGCTTCAAAGCATGACGGTGACATCTCGGCCTACACCTATGAGAAGACATTGGTAATGGAACAACGATCACAGATCCTCAAACAGATGCATTTGACCAAGAATGAGAAGGAGAGAGAGGTACATCAGAAGTTTGTTCTCTACACAATTGGAAACAACCATTAATACAATTATTATGTCATGTATTAATATCAACTTTATCAAATGGAGCACACCTGAAGTTGTATTCAGCATAGGACCCTGAAGAACATGAAATCCATGTTCACACATTCATTATCACTCTGTGGGCTCCAAGTTTCAGAGGAAGGAACATCACTTATGATAAGGTGTTGGTGGACATGTTTTCACTGACATGAGGGAAGAGAGAATTAATTCTAGAGGGAAATTCCAATTTGAACCATGTCCATTTTCTTAATTTGTTTGATAACTAAAGATCCAGAGCATTACGGATATATCCCGTGGGTCCATTCGGCGTAAAAACCCATCGGCCTTGCGCTCGCAGCACAGCCCTGATGAAGGAGCCAGCGTTGCAGAACAAACAGAAGACCAGGTAATGGCACTCTTAGGATATATAACTTGTTTATTTACAGTACCTGTGTCCTCCTCGTTCTCTGCACAAGTTTCTGTGCTCCGGCTTGGGCAGACTCTACTGTTTATTCTATGATTTCCCTACGGCCACTGGCTTTCTCCTACACTCACAGGTGTCTCCTCTCTCTCTTTCACTGTCACGTCACTGTGTTCGTCTCTCAGTCTGTGGCTGTCTCCAACCCAAAACAGGTGCATCTGATCCACAGTAAGAACCCCTCCACACCAGCCAGCCCCACAAGCCCCACGTCTCCCGCTGTGCCTGCAGGGGGTGCCACAACCTGGACGGACAACAAGGGGGCAGAGAAGGGAAAGAGCCCTTCAGAAGGGAACCCAGAGGTGGGCAGAGACCCCTTCAACATGAAGCCGTGAGTGACCTCTCATTTTCACTCCTTTGAGTTGATAGTTGTAAATGTATCAAACGTTTCCAACCTATTGAGTTTTGATACTTATTAAATAATATGCCGTCAGTTTCTATGTGACACTCTGTAATAGAACATGCACAATCTATCAATGGTGCTAACCGCCCTATGCATTTCTCTTCAATGCATTACCAGTCATCATGCATATGTTTGGACATGAGCAACTGCACCTGTAGCAGACTCTAGAAAGATTTTACACATCACTATTTCACTCAGCTTCCAGCAGAGAAAGCGGACATGACACGACATCAACACACAGAGAAGTAAATATTTGTGTATATTGACCCATGTTCCAAGTTTAAAGGAGATACATTGTGTTTCTGTGCACGTGTCAAACATAAACAACTTAAACCACTATCAAATGTAGCTTCCTGTGCACCTGTGCAAACGTGTCCTTCCGTAAATTCACTGTAAATATGTTCCTCCTTACATGCTGCTGCAGAGAATGGGAGCACTTGTAAGTATTGACATTTTGCAGGGATTCATATTGTGTGAGCTGAGCAGCTGACAGAATGATTTGTAAACCTAATGTGGCCTTTTGTTTCTGCCATCAGGAGCCAGGTTGACGTGAGGCGCATGCACACGGCGATGAGGCTCAATGAGGTCATCATGAAGAAGTCAAAGGAGGCAAAACTCGTCCTGCTCAACATGCCGGGACCACCCAAGAACCGTGTGGGCAATGAAAACTGTATCCTTTATCATCATGCATACAACATACTATATTACATGTATTTTTGTGAACTTTACTCAATTCATTTCAGTTCAGATCCTTGCAGCAAGGCAGCACAAAAACATAAAACGCAACACAATCACTGTAAGATAACTGGAGACATTGACAATGCTGAGACTTAACGTGCAATACAGAATAGAATAGTTAATAAAAGCAAAGACAAAATGCAACAATAAAAACAGACATTCTGCCATTTATAGTATATTATCACTAGAGAGGCTGCATTTTGCATGTTTTTCCAGCTAAAAAAGTATTTTGGTGTCAGGTAAGCAAGTTACTTTCCTTAATGTGATTGTTTTTCAGACATGGAGTTCCTCGAGGTGCTCACTGAAGGTCTCAATCGGGTCCTCCTTGTGCGTGGCGGAGGACGGGAGGTCATCACCATCTACTCTTGAAGGACTTAAAAGTCTTTTAAGGGCACGCTCACCTTCGCTGGACTCTGTCCCCTATCTTATTGTTTCAGGAAAATTCTCCCACACCATCATATATCTCCTCATCTCTTCATTGGAGGGATGATCTTGAGAATCAAAATACCTTTATTCGTCCCACAGAGGGGAAAAAGCTTGTTAGTGTACACTAGATTCTTAAATAATCTAACTGAAAAAATCCTAGCTTAGTGTTGCCAACCGTTTTTGAGTGAAACAAGCTAGCATCACTTGCTTAAAAAGTGGTCTGCAACTGTTTGTACTCTCTTATTAGCTGATGACAGCAGATTAGTTTATAATTAGTTCTGACTCAGGCAAAACAAAAGACTCCAAAAGCTTTATTTGTTCTCAGAAAATGGAAGGTTTTCTTTCCCTTTTTTGACTTCAACTTTCTTTCCTGTTGCTTTCGTTCTTGGTCCTTTGTTAAAAGAGAAATGTTTTTTTTTCTTTTTCTGTTATTTATGTATGTATTTATTATTATATATTGGGTATTTATTTATGTATTTATGTCTGTCTTTGTCCTGGTCTGTTTGTGTCTTTCACTGTATGGTTGGAACTGGAAGTATTAATACTAGACACTTTCATATGTATTAATAGGAGTATTAAAATAGCAGAGGATCTAGTTGTTAATATGTAAAAGAATCCCCCAAACCAACTACCTGGATGAAGTATACTTACCAATGGTTTGAACTAACCTTTGAGCAAAATGTATGATGTAAAAGTTTTGATACCCGTTTTGAAATGTAGTCTAACAGATGAAAAGAAATACCTACATATTTTAATCTTAACTTTTTAGTTTAGATGTTATGTGAAATCTCAAAAAGATTCAGACCTGGCATCTCTACATGTGTTTAAAATATATTATTATAATGTCAAATGTTATGGTGAAGGTTAATGAATCCACTTAAATATATTTATGTCAAACACGTTTAACTGCATAAGTCAGTTTAAGATAGATAAGCATACAGCATAAAAGTTAATCTTAGAGAGTTTATTTTTTTAATTGTATCGTTCAGAAAATAATTTATTCAGAAATTCTAGAAATAATTTAAATTATATATTGTATTTTATGCATGTGCGGAGTGCACTGCCTTGCTATTTAAGTATCTTGCAGATAGTGAGACAAGATCAATGTAAACCAGTACCAGGAGACGCTTAGCTTAGCTTGTTTCATTCTCTATGCTAAGGTAAGACAATGGGTGCTAGACATGACGTATAATCTTCTGGACAAACTCTCGGCAAATACATTGCCCGAAATGTTAAACTACTTAAAATGCTTATTTGCTGCCATACTATTGCACACTATTGGAGCATATGAAGTAATAAACTTTGATATTGTCAAGGCAAACGCAGGCATTAAATGCAGACGCCCAAAAATACCTTGGAATGAGGAATCTCAGAAGGGTTAAATAAAAGTGGTTAAGGATGTTTTATGCACTAAGTTATATTATCCTGCAGAGTACCTCTCAGACGTTTAGTTTGTGTATGTGTGAGTCTGTGTACAGTGATATTTAGTTTATTTTTGTGTGCAATTTAGTCATTTCTGGACATGCATTAATACGTGCATATGTGTTGTTTTGTCATCGATATTCACACTTGTTAAAATCCACTGATTCTGCAAAAGTTATATACTAGGATATGAACAGTAAGGGTAGGGCGATCTTGCATAAACTTGCACTGGAAAATGCATAGTTTATGACATCAGGAAGGCAACAAGGCATAGGCCTATAGTTTTAATAGTTAATGATGAAAGTTGTTGTCCAAATTTGTATTTACACAGTAATTTGATTTATAGCCCTCTTCCGTTTGGCCTATAGCGCCATAACGAATTTGACTTAAAAGATTCTGAACAACTTTCTAGAAAATAGCATTCAGTATCTTTCAAAGGAAAATGCTAGACTTCAAATGTTTTTATACATGTATTGTTTGTAACGCTGTAGAAGATTACCCACGTAATCACACACATTGATATGTCCTCTTTTTGGTTAATATCTGTGCAGTCCTCAGTGTTTCCCTTATAACTCTGAAAAGTGTGGGTGCAGAACTATAAAAACGGTACTGATTCATAAGAAGATGGTGGAGCTCTCCAGGTGGATCAGTCACCGGTCTGCAGAAGTCCGCATTTTCCAACTTCCTCACACAGAAAGTGTGTGTGTATGTGTGTGCGCTGTGTGGACCTGATACACAGTGGGTTTGAGTGAGGACAGTGTGTGTAGCCTAACTTAACAGCAAGACAGAGTGAAGATGGGATACTTGTACATATGTGTGATTTTAGGTTTAGAGATAACGTGTAATGTGTGTAAACACAGGTTTTATAGATATCACAAAGGCAGTTTGTATTGTCTTTTAAAATTATAAACGTTGTGTTTTGTTCTACCATGTATTATGCAATCATAAACAAGTAATGGTTTGAATAAACCATTTTATATGTCAGCACAAATTGAAGTTAATTAAAATCATTTTAATACAACTGTGACAGTTCAAGTGTCAGTCATATTCCTCTCTTACAGTGTCTGCTTATAGATCAATTGTGTTTTATTAGCAATTATTGTTTGTAATTTTGCAAGTGTTGATTGCATGCCTCACCTTTTCAGAACTTGTGATCACACTAGAAAAACAAAGCACTTTCTATGATGTGCAAATGAAACTGTTCTTGCTCAGGCTGCATCAGTGCTATAGTGTTATGTCAGTGATAAGACCACATTCCCGCCCTAAACTCACAGGAAACACGAATACATCAACTCTGTGATACATTTACCATCTTAGTTTAGCATTAGCATGCTTACAATGGATAATGTATACAAAGAACAGCAGAATAGTCTTTAAAGGCGTTTAGTCATTAACCTTGAACTTTTCGGACCAGATGAAATCAGTTGCAGAGTTGAGAATAGATAAATTGTTCCAGTGCTACTATTTTAAAGGAGGCTCATAAACAACATGTTCACAGGCATGAAAATGTGTTGCTAAGTGTACAGTTGTTGCACAGTCTCTTAACCCATCTCTGCAGCCTGCTCTGATATGCATTCAGAAAGATCATATCAAACTATGACCTGCAACACTGCAGACACATCGTTAACAAGACCAAACCAGTTTTATTTTGTTTTTCATGTTATATATAATGCTAAGAGGATCACCAGTGTGCCACAGGTGTTAACAAAGAACAACATTACAGTGTAAATAGTAATGATAACTTATTTGACTGTATATATCTGTTTAGATTAATAAAGGTCCATCTTACAGTATCTTATATTTATCTTATCTTATAAACATCTTTGCAATGCATATCTTATTGTAAGAATATTTCTAAAAGACACGTTTGTGGTAAATGCATTGATATCTATCTCTTTATTTAATACAAACTTAATCTCATGGCAGGTGATTAGAGTTTTATGAGGGCAAGCTATTGTGACAGAACTGGTCCATGTCTTATATCCAAAGTCCATGCATCCATGTATCTCTGTTAAGGCAGTGTTTGTCTGAGAGATAGCTGTGGGGGAAACTTCTGAAGCAATTGGAGTCAGGACTCAGAGAGACACGAGGAGAGCTGGAGCTTTGATGGCAAACACTGATGGTTTATTTGGAGCTTCGGCCGGAGAATTCACAAGACATGTTACGGGCCACGAGTTGACCACACGGTATGAAACAAATATGGACCCTGAATCTAACTAGAGCTGTCGTCCATAGAAAAGAATGTGCGCCAGGGAACCTAGGTTCCAGAAAAGAAGGGCTTCTAGATGTCCCTGAACAATAAACTATATCATGTCAGCTTGTGTGCTCGGTCATATGCTGGCCACAATGCGCCCAAGCTGCCCCTCCTTAAGAGAGATAGCAGCAATACCCAAGGCCGTAGACCTATACCATCGGAAAGGAGACAGTGAAAAGAGGACAATTATTAACTGTGTCAAAGGTTGAATAAGCAAATTATTCCCCAACAATAGCTAGTTATGCCTTTGGCCTGTCTTAAAAACACAGTCTGAAAAAAACATTGCCTGCCATTTCCTACAAGAGATTTCAAAATGAGGGCAGAGTCAACCAACCTTCGAATAAAGTTACCTGTATTTGTTTTTGTTGCACAGGTGACCATTGTTGCCTTGTATGCTGCCTTTGTCACCTACGATGACCAAGCGGATGCCAGATTTCAGAATAACAGGACTAACCCCATGGAGAATGCTGTATACAAGGACTATCCTATTTTTACAGACATACAGGTTATAATATTTCTCGGCTTTGGGTGCCTATTTGCATTTTTTCGACTCTATGGCTTTGGTGGGATGGTTTTTAACCTTCTAACTGCTGCCTTTTCAATCCAGTGGGCTATTCTGGTGCAGGGCTACTTCCAGTTCTGCCATGATGGTAAGATCCACCTTGGAGTGATTAACCTCATATATGCAGAGTTTGCCTGTGCAGTGGTGCTGATATCTTTCGGGGCAGTGCTGGGGAAGACGAGCCCGCTGCAGCTGCTGGTCATGGCTCTGCTTGAAGTGCCAGTGTTCGCAGTCACAGAATGGGCTGTGCTCAAGTATCTGAAGATAAATGATGCAGGAGGATCCATTCTTATTCACCTGTTTGCATGTTATTTCGGCCTGGGCGTCACTTTTGTGCTGTACAGGCCTCACCTGAATGAAGGCCATGCAAAGGCGAACACCAGCTACCAGTCTGATATCCTGTCTTTGATCGGGACTTTGTTCCTCTGGGTTTTTTGGCCTTCATTCAACTCATCACTGACCCTGAAAGGAGACGACCAGCATAGAGCCATCCTGCACACCTTCATCGGCCTCAGTGCCTCCACGCTCACAGCCTTCGCTCTCTCTGCCATGCTGAACAAAAATGGTAAGATCACCATATCCGACATTCAGAATGTGACCCTGGCTGGAGGGGTGACAGTGGGGGCGTCTGTGGATATGATGATAACTCCTGCAGCTGCATATGCTCTGGGTATGATGGGCTGCATTGCATGCATGCTGGGCTAC